TCGACAGCATCGAGGCACAAGACATATTGACTGACACACTACAGAGAGGATTCAGAGATAACAAAATTGCCAGGACGCTCATCAGGAAAAACTGTAAGACAATTGACGAACTAGACTACTCACGGGGAGGGAACTGCAGTCCGGATCCGGGCTGTGCGTAGATCGGAACCATCTCAAGGGAATTATTGTGCTGTCCTTGTAGACATATAGTCAGAAGCATCAAGCAAGAATTGAGTTTTGGCATTAGCAAAGACAGAACACCTTGTACCTGGCTTGGCTTACGCGACGGAGCGTCAAAAGGTCGCTCTCGGAGGTACGAGCGACCGGCGCGCGGGCCCGGGAGGCACCCGCCGCCGGCCCGACGACGCTCCTGACAGCCCTGGACCTCGAAATGTGGCGAGCACCAGCCCACAGCCTGCGCTCAGACCCGACCCGCGGACGCCGCAGACGCCAGAGGGTGGAGCCATTTGGGCACGACAGATCTGCATGAACTTCAGAGACGGTCACAGCACCCCGTTTTGGTGCCCGTACGACAGGCGGCACCTACCATGCGGCATATGTGGCGACACGCGGCACCACACGGCGTGTCACAACGGAGAGGCCGGCGCGGCCACGGGTATAGGCGGCAGCGGTCGACTGCAGTCGGCCTGAAATCGAGGTGGGCGCCGGGCGGTGCTTGTGGACCGATCAGCGGGGTACCGGAGTCAGGCGTCGACGCGCGCGCGTCGGTCGCTCGCACCTCCGAGAGCGACCTGTTGACGCTCCATCGCGTAAGCCAAGCCAGGTACGCTGACCGGCTCGGGATCCTGCTACTAGCATGCCCGGCTGTCCCCACGGAGCTGCGTGAAACCGTCCTTCGCCGGTTCCAACACGGAGCAGACATCGCGTTCTGCGGCGACATGGGTGGCACTCGTACGGAAAACAATGAGTCAGCCAAGAGAAGACGGAACGGCGTGTCGGAAGCCATCGAAGCAGAAGTGGGAGCCGGCACGTCGTGCGGGCATTTTCAAAGCCCTACGTTTGAAAACTTTGTAGTGAACGAATTGAGCGCTAGAGATAAGGAAAATGGAGAAGTGCGACTCATATTAGACTTATCGCAGCCGCGCGGACAAAGTGTAAACGACGGGATTAATCCAGGGTGTTATAAACTGTCTTATACGACCGTGGACGAAGCTATGCGGCCTTAAATCGGCTCTGCTAGCCGGGCCTCTGTGTGTTTGGGACCAACGCTGCGTCTGGGCGGCAGCTACGCTGGCTTTCTTCTGCGGCCTGAGAGTCTCAGAATACCTGCCTTCAGCCCCGGGCCGCGGGTTACGCAGACAGGATCTTCACCTCACAGCGGCGCGATGCGCCGTACGTCTCCACATCCAAAAGAACCGGCAGTACGGCGCCCCACAGTGGGTCTCGGCCCCGGCTACAGGTACCGCCACCTGCCCCGTGAGGAGCCTCGGGACATTTTGCTCTGCGCGTGACCAGTGCTACTCGCAGGTCCGGCCCCTGTTTATTCTCCACGACGGAGCGCCACTCACTCCGGCTCGACTCAACCACGTGCTGCGGACGGCCGGGCGTCGGCATCCACTGCCGCTGCCGAGCACACACGGAGACCAGACTAGGGTCAGCACGGCGACCGACGGTTTGCCGGCGCCCGCGGGATACGGCCAGTTCACTCCACCGGTGCCGCCAGGTCCATACCCCGCGCCGGCCAGCGCAGCTCCGGTGGCCGCCAGCGCAGGGCCGCCGGGCCCCGGATACTTCGTGCCGCCAGCGCCGCCGGCCCAGTGCGGTCACTACGGAGCACCGGACGGCTATCCGCCCCCTACGACAGGTGCGGCAGCCGGCGTCCCGTCATCCGACGCCCGTCACCTCTCCCGGTCGGCACCTCCGAGCTGGCCCGGCGCGCCAGCCGGGTGCAGTCCCGGTGGCCACGCCGCACCTCCTGCGGCGTTGGGCGGGCCAGCCTGGCCGTCCCTCGCGCCCGGCACGGCCGACCCGGCGCCGGCTGGCTGGACACGCCCGGCCGCCGCGGCGGCCGAGTACGTTGGGCCGCCAGGCCTGCCTCAGTGGCGGCGGTCGAGAAGGCCGCCCGGGAACGAGGCGTTCCAGTGGACCGCATCGCCGACCACCGTCAACTCAAGGTGTTAAATTTTAATTGCCTTTAATTTTTCACTAGCGCTACCGTTACATCACTTCACGGCCACGCGTGTCCGCCTAGCGGACAAAAGTATTTCTTTCGTGCCCGGTTTTTCTACGGAGTTTGGGCTGCCACTTTTCTTTGGTATCGTGGCGCAGCGATTTTGTGTGTAATGAGACGTTTCTGGTGCCATGTGGCGGGAAGGGTGCAAGGCTCCAGTTGTATTGGCTGAAAGTTCCAGGAGGTCTTGCTTTTATGTTAGTTCGTCTTGTGAAGGCAACGAGTTTGGTTGCTGAGTTTGTGATATGGGCTGACTGAGTTCAGGATTCGTCGATATTTGTATTTCGTTGCACCATTGCTGGCATTTCTTTCTGCCTTTGCAGCTCCGTTCGCAAGCCGCTCTGCTAGTTTTTTGCCTTTGCAGACCTACTGTGCTGGCCTTTTTCTTGTTGGCCTATCTTATCGACGCGCAGCGGCCGCAGCGGCGACTCGTCGGCCGCCACCGAGGAGGCCATCGAGGCGTCTGGCTACTTCAAGAAGGGGCTACCGAGGAGGCCATCGAGGCGTCTGGCTACTTCAAGAAGGGGCTACCGAGGAGGCCATCGAGGCGTCTGGCTACTTCAAAAAGGGGCTAACGCTGAGTGTTTGCCTAGTTGTGTGTTGGTGAATTGTGGGTTGTTTGCGTGTTTGTCGTTTCATTGGCCATATTTCTATTTTTTACACTGATTCTCACGGACGCTGAAGGAGCGTTCTTCGAAGTCGGTGATTACCAAAGGCACACAAAACTTACATAGATTCTCCCCCATCGATACTAGTGTCATGAAGGTGTGTGACACACCGTGCTAAGTCGAAATGCGTAAGACGCACTCCTCTGATTCGATGGCATCACCTTTTTCGAAATTCCGAGGACGGACTTTGTTCAAAGTTTGTTCTCATGTGGCGCGCCGTACTATGTTTTCGAGTCGGATCACCGATCGACACGCTCCGCTGCTCCATATAAAAGCAGCGGCGATGCGGACGAGAGGGGATTCCCTCTTGTGGCACTCCATTGTCACTCGCGGTCCGGGAGTGGGACGGGCACGTTGGTCCAGGACCATTTCGGTCCGGGACGCTCGCCCCGGATACACTCGGTCAGTCAGTGACACTCTGTGAGGACATTCGCTAGCCCGGTGCGCCGCCGCTCGGCCTCGGTATTATTTATTGAACCAAGCCGCAGTCCTTGGCCCGGTCCAAAAGCTTTAGTCGCAAAACGTGATTCCAAACAACGCAAGTTCTGTGTTGATTTGAGAAAAGTCGTTCATGTCAGCGTTCCGTACAGTCATCCTCTTCGGCGCATTGATGATATCTTAGCATCACTTGAAGGCACAAGACTTTGTCTTGATAATTTCATTGATCAACTGATGGGTGAAAGCCATTTTTTCTGTTTGACAGTGTAGCTGGGAAGTGCACCTAGACAGGTATTTAACACTCAGGGTAGCTGAAAGGGCAGGATTCTGATGGCTGACGCTTGGACAGTGACAGCCGCCCCAGCTCACACCAAGCACCAGACAGTACATTGTCTCCTACTGCGCACCACTTCGATAAAGATTGCTTACGCTAAATCTCTAGCCGGCAGAATGCGCCCGCCATGACCTCGACCGGATGGCTCCGATGACTGGTTCGCAACGGCGTATTCACATATATGGAAAATCTGGACAGCCTGCAGACACGCAGGTACCTTACAGTGCTGCCTCTAGCCGCACTCTCTGAACTACTGATGCCCTATAGGTGTCGCCACTACAACATCCCGGTGTTGGCCACGCTAGAGAGAGCTCTGAGGCCTCCGGGCGGGTGGGTTCTGTAAATTAGTGGTCACAAACCTCCTGACGCGCCTGTGCCAGTCAAGGCCCTATATACCAGGTAGGGTCGTCCGGCGATTCAACCTTTTCGTGACGTCAGCTCCTGACGTCATTTGGAGTCAAGTCTCGAAGCCCCGTTCAATCCCCATGTAAATGAGCGATTTTTGAAGCACTGTAGAATGAAGTCTGCACAAGATATATCAAACCTAAGTATCTTATCTGAAAGAGCAGACAATTTTCTGCAAGTTATCTATTACGTGTTTTTCGCTAAATCTTTTGCTTTTTTCACAAAAGCGTAAAATGTCCCCCCATGTCTCCGCAGCCTCCCTGCCGCCGGCCGCCGCGCGGTCGCGGTAGTGTAGTGGTTAGCGTGCCCGCGCAGTATTCCAAAGGTCCCGAGTTCGAATCTACGCGGTGCGGAACTTTAATAGCAATTCCAAGCTGAATATGCGCACGTCCATATTATATTAATATTAGTTTAGCTAAACTGTCACGAAGCTATCCATATAAATTGACTTCACCCAAAATATTGACAAGATTCTATTAAAATATAAATTCAAATATGGCGGCTTGGACTGCCGCGTGCGTTAGGCTCCGCCCATAGCTCCGCCCACATGCGTGACGTCATTCGTGTTAGTGGACACACGCGGAGATAGGGGACGACATGGGCCTGGTGCCAGTGGCTGACAGGCTGTGGCGTGGTGGCGTGGAGGCGAAGCCGATTCTTAATAACCCATCTCGCCAGGTTTGTGCTGATAATGTAAGGTGGCCGCCAGTGTAAAACGCCGCATTTTCTGTTCGAGTAATGTTTGAAATGCTATGGGGGGGGAAGGGGGGGGGGAGTGTCCGACGCCAAACGGCGCCGTGCCGCCCGTGTCCGATATTATTTGCTGTTAAAATCAACGTTTTAAGCACCATATGGTGAACTGAACGCAGGGGCGTCGCCACGGGTCCCCAACTTGTACGGACATATTCTGTCAGCCGTAATACTCGTCAGATGCGTTAACCCACGCGGACCCAGGGAGGGGTGCGGCTAATTGTGGGCTACGCTTTTGCGAAACTGCCAAGTTTGGCAGCCCAACTCGACCAAAGCGAAATACGCCTAGAACCATCCTGGAACCCAAAAGCGGCGCGTTTTGCAAACTCAATCCAGACACCGTGACTCTTATATTGGACTTGATCTTCGATCATTTTTATATACCGTGCTTTGATCGACGCTGAAGAAGGTCACAAGAAGGTGGTTATTGGCAGCAGATGAAAGGTCGGTGGCCACACGTACAGCAGGAGGTACTTTAATTGTGGTATCTAATCTATCTCGATCTGTATGCTAGAGATATGACAAACATGAAACGGGTACCAGTGTTTCATCATCAATAGTTTGTTTTGTTGCCCTGTGAGTGCCAAAATTAAATATTCTGGCGTGAGATGATGTTTTTCGTACTCCAGCGTAGATGGGTAGCCATTCGGCTTCCACGGTTGACAGTGATGACATCCGTCATCTTTTGCAAACTCGTTAAAGATTTGCAAAAGATGACGGATGTCATCACTGTCAACCGTGGAAGCCGAATGGCTACCCATCTACGCTGGAGTACGAAAAACATCATCTCATGCTCTCAGTCCCAGCGGATAAAAACAACACCTAAGAATAAATATTCTGCCATTTATTTATGTCAAGTTTGCCACCTACTTCATGCATAAGTTTGGTTGAGGTTCAGTTTGATTTCTAGGGTAAGGGGCCCAGGCCATCCATAAATTACACAACACTTTTTTGACCTGGGCCCTGTTTCACCGGTGATAGCACACTGCTATTAAATTGCACGAGCTGACGTAATGTGATTATGTCACACTAATAACATTTCGTGTAATCCATGAGCTTTTTCATAGCTGCGTTTGGAACAGAGTTGCTCTCTCGTTGAATGTGTTTGATACATTTGTTTGATCGCACAGCCGTGAAGATGTTGGTAGCAATATTTGATGACATCACACAGATTGACGATGCCATGGTTTTTTATGTTTCCATGGAAACCCAATTTGGCACGTGTAATAGTAGCGTGCTGCTATCACCGGTGAAACAGGGCCCAGTCCAAGGCCCAGTCTTTGACCTGGCCTCCCCCTGTTATGCTTAAGTTATGCTAGCCCCAACCACCCCCTCCCCTGCCCTTGTTATGCTAATGAAAACTGTAACATGATAAAACTTCACTGTTCTTGCTTCTAATTATATTTGAGGTTCAATATAGCTTATATGGATGCAAATTGTTTTTGATAAATAACTTTTGAACTAACAGGTATAGGGCATAGGCAGAACACCATGGTGTTTCTCTCAATGAGACACACCAGAATACATAATTTTTTGAGTAAAAGCAAGGTCAAATGCTTATCTTTGGTCAAGGGCAAAAGGCCACTCAAATGGGTTATGCTGCATATCATTTGATGTCTCGATGAGAGAAACACAATGACACCATTACCAATCACAGCCACAGGTCTGTATCACTTTTCAATCAAAATCTATTTAAAAACTATTATGACCCAAAAAAGCCTCTATGTGACATCATTGACCTTAACAGAGGTTATATAGTCAACATTTTTACCTGGTGACATGTGCTTCTACATAACATTGATGACTATTATACGTATATTGTTAAATACCTATTACCAAACATCATGGCAGGCACCCAGATATAAATATTGTTATGCTTCAGATGGATGACCTTTCTGAGGATGACTTTGTTGACTCCATTCATGATGGGATGTCTAAAGCCCAGCAGACTTTGCCGCCAGAGGTAAGCAAGTTTTTTCTCTCTCTCTCTCCTCTCTCTCCCTCACCCTCACCCTCACCCTCACCCTCACCCTCACCCTCACCCTCACCCTCACCCTCACCCTCACCCTCACTCTCACTCTCACTCTCACTCTCACTCTCACTCTCACTCTCACTCTCACTCTCACTCTCACTCTCACTCTCTCTCTCTCTCTCTCTCTCTCTCTCTCTCTCTCTCTCTCTCTCTCTCTCTCTCTCTCTCTCTCTCTCTCTCTCTCCCTCTGTCTCTCTGTCACTCTCTGTGTTTTTGGGAGCTCAAGCATGTATGCCAGCATGCTTGTTTGCCTGCATCTATTGTGTCCATTTGTTGTCCATGTGTATGCATGTACAGGTAGGCCCATATTTTATTGCATTCTTTTTTAACACGCGCACCGACGGGGGGCGGATATCCACCCCCCCCCCTGAGGTTTTTCGCGAATAGCGGGAAAACCTACGCGCCGCGAAATTTGGTACGACTATTCTCTCATCAATTTTACACATGGTGTGCAAGTTAAAACCTCCTAACTTTCAAGGTCAGGTCACCAGGTCACTTTGAACGACCCAACCTCAAGTTACTTTTTTGCAACTTTGTCACCGTGCCAGAGCTACAGTAGATGTCGGAGGCCTTTGAAAGTCGCAGGATGTTATAAGGTCATTAGTAGCTACAATTTGTTTATCTCGGAATTTTGATATCGATGACCTAAGGTCAGGTCAATTTCTCGACCTCCCCATTATAAGTCAATGGGGGAAAAATCAACTCCCTGTTTTTACCACTAAAACGGGTCGGAATGGCCCCATATACCATACATGACTTCATATACGAGCAACCTTCACTACCTTGAGGTCTGTTTTGCTGTTGGGCAGCTGTGAGGTCATGTGATGTCATCAAAGGTCACCAGTGTTTTTTTGCCAATAACTCCGTACAGGAACAAGATACAGCCGCGCGGATGGTCTCATTGTGTTCAGCTCGTCAAGACGCATCGAATGATATACATGATGACCTCGAGGTCACGTGACCTGAGGTCAACCTTTGACCTTGACCTTTCGAGTTCAACACATATATATATCATTCGATGCGGATTGACGAGAGGATCACGATGATGCCCTTAGTTTGTTCCTATATTGACTAGTTCGAAAGTTATTCGAGAAAAACTCTCTCCATACCTAGCGCCGCCATTTTGACTTTTTTGACCCCTGTGACGTCATCTTTGACCTGACCTGAAAATGACCTTTGTATAAATTGTAGCCCTTGTCCGTGCGTATCCCTTGCCGTTTACCGCTTTTCGCTATCTTGCTTCGTTCTCGAGATCTCAGTGGGGCGTTCATCCGCCCCCCCCCCCCGTCGGTACGAAGTTGGCGCAGACCCCCGTCGGTGTGCGGGTTAAAACAAGTTTAGTCCAAACCTTTTGAGTGGAAGGATTCACAAGGACAGAGCCCCCGCTAAGCAGAGCTTGTTGCAGTGACCCTGCCCTCTACCCTCCGATCGCGCAATTCATGTCTTATGGCAGAATTTAGAACCAGAGTTTAACGTAGGTACCTACGCACAGAGCCGCGCACGGCCGGTCTCCTCACTGACTTCGACTGGCTACGGCCTGCCACCAACAACCATACCTGTCAGGAGGCTCATAAACATCGAGCGCCCGTCGCGCTTCGAACCGGGACTTTTACAACCGGGACGTGTGCTCTCACCACACGGAGTCCGACGCTCTACCGACTGAGCCACGGGACCGGCAATTTCTGACTTTCAAATTCTGACAGCTTATTACTTTTCAGAAGCTGCAATGCTCTAGATGTGGGCAAAAGTTGCAGTCCAAATACCAGCTCAGGCTGCATGTTCAAGAACATCACCCCATGGTAAGATCCAGATGGCATCCAGATGTTTATTCATTTGAATCTGCACACGGTGAGGGCACTCAAACATGAACATGCTCACATACATGACCATAAATCAGCATTCACAGGGCACATTTATTCGGCTCAGTTGCGAACATTGATATATGTTATCAATGTTGCAGTATGATTTCCTTCAAAGGAAATACTTCACTTTTAACATGGGGTTTTGAACTGGAATAGCGGTCTTGTAGCTTGAGCTGAGACTAGTACAAATCAGAGGCTTTTATGGCCCAACGATCACCCTAGACGAAGATATTCCATTTCTCGTTCCGAAAAGTGGCTTACAGGGGAATGCGTGCCTTGTAGAGGAATGCAGCCACGTCATTGTCAGCCAATCAGCATGCTGCTTACGGCCAAGGCAGCATGCGTAGGTTTGAGCTACGCAATATGATTGGTCGACGCGTAAATAAGCTTCCGCGTCAAACATTATTTTATATAAATTATAGTCCTGCCTATATTAAAATGTAGAAAATAATCCTTTTGCAAAAAGATTTTATGTTATTTTCTTATCATTTTGCGCATAAACAATCACGAATCCATAGCAAAATACTAATTTCAGGAAAGTGAACTATTTCCTTTAAGTGCTCATTAGAATGTGCTCACTGTGCTCACTCCATATTGTGTCAACTTGCGTTGCTCGCTACGACCCGTTCGTCGGGAGATAACGCCGGTAACAGCTACTTCCCTGAGCTCTGTGTTTTCGGTCGGAGACCCCAGCGCTAATCGGGTTGAAGGTTAAAGGTTAATTTCCCTTTTACAGTTCTCTTAATGTCTCTTTAGATAAAATGAAAATTTAATGATGTTGATAGTGAAGGTAGTTTTGAAATTGATATAAAATCAGAACAATGTGAATGCATAACATTAGTGAACATTTATAACCTTGCATAGGGTTATATCCCTTGATGTGCCAGGTCCTCCCCCCCCCCCCCCCCCGACCAATGCTCTCGGTCCGAACTGACTGATAGCATATTATTTCATGCTGCAGGTGCACCAGTGCCAGCTGTGCTCCTTCTCATCACATGCTTTGTCCGACTTGAGGGAACACCTGACCACAACTCACAGAAACTCGGTATGCAGATTGATTTTCATGTTTACTTCCATCGTACAACAATTTTCTTTGTGAGCCGTTTTTTCCGGGATTCCGCGCTTTGGATCACATATTACATATTGGCCCATTGGGATTACACGCAGATAGTGACCACACATCTTGTTGCAATTATTCATATTTGGATAAATAGGTACCTGCTACGCTCACTGGTCGTGACTGTGTGGCACGGCATACTCCGGCCTAGTAATGTTACAGGCAATACAACTTTGTGTTGGTTGTGAAAATCGTCAGCTGACATGATGTGCTGCAATTTTCTTTCAATTGGCAGAAGTTAGCCTGCGACTGGTGTCAGCACGTGGCTGTCTCAGCTGAGGCTCTGCGCAGGCACTTGCGGTCCGCTCACGTGTCTGCGGGTGATCAACAACCAGAGAAGCTACCGCCCAAAAACTTTGTAAGTATTATAAGATGACGTGGTTGATTGAAAACCATCCGTCCCTCAAAGTACAATCCTCGGCGGCGTCATGTCCTCGTCCTTCCCGCCGCCCTTCGTGCCCCGGGCTGGTGCCACCGGAAGGGGGCTAACTGGGGCATGCTCCAAGTGAGCATACCCCGACCCCGGGGTGACCGTCTGCGTGGCCCGTCGGTAGTCTCTTGCGGGGTTGCCCCACGGGTGGAGGATGCCCGTGGGGCACCCCTCCTGGGGCAGCTGGGCTGCGGCGGCTCACCCATCTGGTGGCAAATGGCCAGACCACTGTCACCCCCAAACCTAAAATCCCGTAGCTCCGCAATGGTCCCATTGGGCCGAAGGAGCTTCATCCTAACAAAAAAGCCGATCACTTGATTTAACCCTTTCCGGCACATGCCTTATCGACATTTTGGACCGCACACGGTAGCTGCCACCTTACCCCATACCATATTGGCCATGATTGAGCCAGAGCTTCGAGACAAAACCAATCGATTTCATCGGAAATGTCGAGTCCGATGACACCCGAGTCGACCTCTTAAGCTGAAACTAGCAATATGACGTTTCTCGATCGGAACCGTTTTTTTTGTGAATACCTTTGGAATGCTGCTTCACAACATATATCACTTGAAATAAAGGTCAGGGATGAAATGAATGTTGTATGTGTAGGATAATAGGATATGCTTTGTTCAGCACAGGGGCTGCCTGGTAACATTTTGAAATCACTTGCAGGCATGCTGCTATGGGGCACACGATTTTGAAGGAGGCTGCCAAGCGCGCTTCAGTAACCGTGCTGACCTCCGGAAACATCTGGCTGAACAGCACGACGCCCGCTCAGCTGAGGAGAAGATCGAAGTATCTTTGTCTTCCAAGGCTGGTATGTCTTTTTCGTAGTGGGCTTTTATTCCACACAGGTGGGCAAATGCATATTTATGTATGTGCTGCCGAACACATTTTTTTTAAACCCTCCTATTAGAATCGGCTACAATTCCATGTCGTCTTTGCTTCCAACTCGCTCGGAATCTGATTCCACGCTTAGTTGATTTTTTTTTTAAATCTGATCTGATTCAGAGTCGGAGTCGGAAACGACCTCGGATACTACTTTTGGATACACCTTTTCGATCAAGATTCAAGGTGCTTTCGATTCACCCTTATCATTTCGGAACCCTGGGGAAAAGGAGAAAATGATAGTCAAAAATGGCAAGGCAAAAATGGTATGCTAACCCAGTTGGCCAGGTGACTAACCATTTTAGTTCAATGGCACAAAATTATCTCTCCAGGCAGAGCAAATACTTTAAATTTAAATGTTGAAAGGCAATTGCCGGTTAGATTGGGGTCTGAAAACAGTAGCGCATAGGAAAGCCACTACTAACCGTAGGCTCCAAGAGAAGTTTGCATGCCGTTAGAAAGTTTGCATACCGTTAGAAAAGTTTACATACTGTTTGCATACAAGCAGCATACCGTTAGAAAGAGAAGTGTTGGACATTTAACATTATATGTACACACGGAGGTCAGTTGTGACACTTTGTCTACAGGAGGTGCTCGAAGAGGTCTCGCTTAATCTCCACTCGACCATGACCTTTGCTCCGTGCGCCTTCTTGTATGAATCAGCTCCTGTGGATTATTAGGCTACCGGGAGACTGTATTCTTCCTGTAGGGTGATTGTTTAGCACAAACAACTTCTCGTCGCTCCAGATCACCCGTTCGAACCATTCTTCCGCTTGACTGAGCCGAAGATACACGCTTCCATCATCCACACCATGCTGTCAGCGGAGAGGACGGTCGTTAGGATCGGGCGATATGGTTTCCAGTTCAGTTTCTTGTGCAGAATTGTCCACACATTCCAGAAAGACGTTCCCAGGTTTCCTGAAGCATTGTGAAAGTGGATGTTGAGCTGATTTTTGAAGAATTTTTAAACTCTGCACGTTTTAAGGACCGGCAAGGGCCCAGTATCCCTGGTCATCATGCAGGCCGGGGTTTTTTTTTTCGGCCTGGACTTGAGCTTGTGACCCCAAGCAGCTCAAGAAATCGTGGAGAGAACTCAAGAGCAAGACCCTTGATGAGCTGAAGGCTGTCGTTAGTCGTCAAGGACTACGGCCTCACGATGGTCGTCAACCATCTGAGACGCATGGCAGGGCACACCCGGCGCCGGGCCGAGCTCTACTGCGCGTAGAGGGGTGGGCACTCTTCGAGCACCTCCTTTAGACAAACGGAGTGTCACAACTGAATTCCGTTTGTGTTATGTCAAATGTCCAACATTTCTCTTTCTAACGACTGTGCTGTTTATGCATTAAACTATATTATATTATGCGCCTCTCGTGGGGGCTAACTTTATGTCATTCCTTCTTGATCACCCTGTATCTATCATGGATGAAAGTTATCAGTTAGGACGTGTCATAGAAAAGCCGTTCATTGGACCCCACTAAAAAACAAGGGCTGAGCTAAAAGCATCCGCATAAATCTGCAATGTGGCGCGCGGAAGCGGAATGTAACAGCTATCCTGTCATTTCTCGGGTGGACAGCGCCGTTATAAGTCTTATAAGTCGTGATAAAATTTAAAGGTACAAATTGCATGTTCTGTTGTCGAGGCTTTCGTCCCTTCCATTATAACTTGCCAAAACCCGAATTGCAGGTCAAAGGTATATGGCCCTTGTATCTATTCCAGCATTTCGAAGCTATGCTTTCTTTATTCTAGAGTTCGACAACTGGAAAATGGACCAAGAACGACGGAGAGGTGTTTTCTACCGCCGCGTCTCTTCTCGTCCCGGGCAAAAGACCCTCTTCGAGTGTTCGCGGTCTGGTGTCCACGCGCCCTCCGGGTCTGGCCGTCGCCGACTGAAGTCGCAGGGTTCCTCCAAGCTGGGCGTTAAATGCACGTCCACCCTGCTAATGCTACAGCATGACGACGGTACCGTCACGGCCGTGCTGCACCCTCACCACCACGGGCACAGTGAGGGCGCTGCTAACCTGCCGCATCTCCGCATTCCAGCCGGTGACCGCGCCATTGCGAAAGGTATGATAATGCTACTTGTTTTCCCTGGCGTCATATATAATGTGAAAGGTGCGCTGAACATGTTCTTATGTATTAGGAATAAATTCATGAAAAACAAACAGAAGACCACAGGCGTAACTGTGTGACTGTGAACGTTGTACTCGCTTGCAACCATTACCTCTAGTCTCTGTGTACTTAGGAACACATTTTCTGAACGGGGCTGAAGTCGAGTGTACCCTACGGGTCGATGGGATACCCCCCCCCCAAAGTTTTTTATTGCACCTGTTTATGATAAAAACAGGTTGCATTCTGAGTATGATGGTGTGAAAAGTAGCGATGTAAAATCAAATATCATCTCATAAAAAGTGCAGTCCACAGAGCTGAAGCCGATAGCATGTCTCCGCTAACCGAGGAAGTTTTTATTGCTGGTACTTTGATTGTCAACATTTTCCATGACCCTTACACAGTAATTTGTGAAAAATATGTTCCCGGCAAGCGTGTGCTTTTTATGAGATCAGTGCATTATGCTATGCGTAATGCACGATGTTTTGTGCTAAATTTCAGCACAACTCGCTGCTGGTATTTCCACGGCACGTGTCATGCGCAACATGAGGGAGCGATGCGGCAACGACTCCGACGCCGGCCCAAGTCGGGCATTCTGGGTCCAAAGGAAGGACATTCAAAATATATGCCGATCGATCGGCATCAGTGCGGGCGGCGACAGCAACAAACATTCCAACGAAGTGGTCAGCGTCCGAATGCACGCGGAGCAGCTCCGATCTTCAGACCAGGTAATAAAAGGTTTATAGGCCCGCCTAGCGGGCTTGCGTGGCAGCCTTATAGATATATAGCGATTACTGTCAGATTGGAACAAAGAGAATATAGACTGAGTTACACAACCACAATGCCTTATTCCTTTTAACACATTTTTTGTGGAACTTGCTCATCGAAGTGCTAGTGTGACTGTACCATTCCAGTGTGTTGAGAGCAGCTGCTTTGAGAAGCACGGATTTACTGTTTCAGTAGTTTATTTGCATTCCCGATCAGATCACCATAGCCCCACGGCGGCTGATGTAAATCGATGGGTTCCAGCACCATCTTTTGACGCTCAAGCTGCCAGACGAAGAGGGTTCGAGCGGCACTGAGTCTCTTCAGGCCGACGACTTCGTGTTTGGCTTTTGTACAAGTCACCAGCTAAAGAAGTTTGTGCAGCATGGGAGTGCCGTCGTTTGCATGGATGGCACCCACGGCACAAGTGGTGAGGATGCAAACAACACACTATTGTACTGCTGCAATGGGCTTCGATCGAAATACGTTTGGGCTGATTTGACACTGCTGGCTTTGGTGCAGAGGTATTCACCAAGTGACCTGTGCTTGCTGTGCTGTGGTGGTAAACACTGAAGGAAACTGTTCACCCAGGAAATGATTTGTTTTTATCAGGGAGAGGGGGGCTATGGGCCATGGGCAGAGCTATGGTCTAGGAGGGAAAAAACTTCCAGAGAGGAATCCATTTAGAGCGTGTATGTAGCGAATCTTACGATGGTACTCATGCGATTACGAGACTGTTTGTTTCCGCCATTTATTCGGACCGATTAAGGCGAACAGTTTCCTTCAGTATCTGCCGCTTGTCGGCTTGCTTGGTATGGTGCATGGCACTCGACATACTCATTGCTTTGTCTCTACTGGTGGTGAACTCTGATTGGTTTGGTCTGCTTCGGATTGGGCCCATTTATCATGTACTCGCACGTACATTGGTGGCTAGCTTTGTGGGCGCATGCTTTTCACAGGACATGACTTCCATCTGATCACGGTGCTCGTCCTCAACGAATACGGCGCCGGTATTCCCGTTGCCTGGCTTATCTCCAGCCGCGAAGACGAGACGGCGATATCCTGCCTTCTAGGTGGCCTCATGCGAGCGTGCAGCGACGACAACACGCCTTTTCCCACGGCAAAGTATTTCATGTCGGACAAGGCCCCGGCATATTACAACGCGTGGACCAACACTACAGGGCAGCACGCTACACAGCACCTTTTGTGCGCGTGGCATGTGGTGAAAGCGTGGAAGGGCAAGCTGCCCATGATCAGCGTAAGTACGTTTGTCGCCTGCCGCGACATAAACCCCAACGTGTAAGGCCATCTTCAGGTTGCATGTTCAGTTCACCGGTCATCAAATACCAAGATTTACCATTTTCCCGGCAGTTGGTGAGTTATTTCGCCACCCGCCACAAATGCCTGAGTCTGGCGTTAAATCCAGCCGATAACTTCCGAACCAACAATCGTAGCGAGACGCGCAAGTTGGCAAACTAAAACGCTCAACGGGACGTTTTTGATAAATTCTTAAAATTTCGGTTGTAAGATCATGGTAGGGTCAAGTGCAGGTCAAAGGTAAAGAATGAGCAAAGTAGCATTATGCGTTGACGGACCTCACAATAACCGCTCCCCAGAGTTAACTCAGTCAACATTCTTAAAATGTATGGGAAACGTACCAAGTGATTGATGAGCAAGAGTAAGCAAAGTTCAAGGTCAAGATTGGGTCTAGCAATATCAACATTCTTAACCCGCTGGTGGTCGGTATTTTCCGTGGAGTGCTTGGGGAGTGACGTTTTTACCCCCCCCCCCCTCTAACTCGGCTCCTGGTCCATGTAGAGCCATGCCGCAGGCGGCGTTCAAAAGATCAGCTCATAACATGAAGAAAGTATTTCGGTCATTTTTAACCCTCGCCCGTATTGGTGTTTTTTTTCAGCTACGAACGTATAAAGGGGGGGGGGTCCGTTGGACCCCCCCTTGCCGTTTCAGCCCCTGTTTGAATTAGCATCGCCCAAGCACCACCCTTTACTAGGCAGGATAGAGCTTATTGCTCTAACATGGCTGGTTTGCTAAGTTTATTTTCGCCGGCAGGACATGGTTGCCCGCCAAGAGGCCTACGATGCCCTGTGGGGCATCATGCATGAGGCGGAGGAGGCCAAGGCGGTGGCGGCAGCCAAGGTGGTGGCGGATAGCCTGCTGTCACACGCCAACACCCGCGAGTTCGGCCGCTACTTCCGCGCCACCTGGCTGGAGTGCGTCCCCAAATGGACGCTGGGCAGGAGGGACGCGGCGGGCGTGTCTACAAACATGCACGTTGAGGCGTTCCACCGGGTGCTGAAATATCAGTACCTGGAGGGACGCGTCAACAAGAGAGTGGACAAGTGAGTTATTGAGCGTATGTGCAGCCAATTGAAAGCAACAGGTGTAATATGTCTGATAGTTGACACGCTGGTGTCAAACTAATTGAAAATATTTGCCAATTTCTTAGTTACCAGTGAACGATGGATGGACTAGCAAGAGCCGTTACTAACGACAACTAATGACATTTTCGGGGATTAGAGCATGTCTCAATAGTTATTCCATGGCAAGTCCAACAGTTTTTTTTTTCTCGATAAGGGATATAACAACTTTGTCGCCCTATTCTATACCAATTTAGCATTCAAAAGTCGCTCAGGCCTAAATATTCTCAGGAGCCTTTGTCCTTGAACGAATATTTTACAACTGAACTGGGTAGATTTTTAGTTGGGCTATAGATTGCGAATATCTGGATAATATGTGATGCGTTACGAGTTAATTTTACCTCATCGCGTTGCCACTATAGATGGCTGGAGACGTTGTTCACTATCACGATCTGGCCCTCTGTCGCGATAGCACGTTGTTGAACTGAAATCCATTTGTTACAGGTGCATCGCAGCTCTGCTCAAGTTCGCCGACGACCAGATGGTGACAATGGCCCGGAGGCAGCTCTGGCAGGCTCGAAGCCTCCACGGCGAGGAGATCGCCAAACGCCACGCCACCGCCGCCGAACTCGTCCGGAGCCAACAGGCGGCGGTCTCCCCGGTGACGGACAGCCTCCTGCCGGCGTGGGAGGTTCGGTGCGGTGCAGGCGACTCCAGCCGCTCCTACCGGGTGGAGCAGGAACACCGCCAGTGCCCGGAGATCGGCTGCCAGCAGCGGTGCCATGAGTGCCGGGCCTGCGTCCACCACCTGCGGTGCAGCTGTCCGGACTGGACGGGCCACAAGCTGATGTGCAAGCACATTCATGCTGCGTGCCTGCTCGTGGATGGCCTGTCGTCCCAGCTGACCGTGCCCGATCCGCAGAGGCCTGATTCTCCGCCGGAAGTGGTGGACGAGCCCCCGCCGCCGCCGCCGCCGAGCCGTCCTGCCGACAAACAGCGCGCACTGGCCGAACTGGCGGCGGTGTCGGCGCGGCTGGCCGCGGTGCCGGAGGGCGCCGGGGCACTCTTCGCCGCGGCCATCGTCAAGATCGGCGAGTTGAATCAGCTGGTTGCTGCCGTTCCCCAGGCTGATGACGTCTCCAGCGAACATCTCGGAGACACGCTGAACCGACCGTGGAATGCGCGGATAGTGCCTCAGCCGTGCTTCCGGTCGCGGCGGGCCAAGCGACCTCGGGTGGCGCCTTCGGCGGTGCACGCGGACAGCGCCGCGGCGAGCGATCTCGTCACGAGTCTCAGCCATGGCGACTCGGGACGCGAGCGAGTACCCCAGGTGCACCAGGATCACACATATTAGCCCGCATCTAGGGGGGGGGGGAGTGGGCTTGAGTGGGTTGGGCTGGTAATACGTGCTAACACCCCCACCGCACGCACCCCAAAGCATGTGACAGCTCTCCGCGCTCGTTCGTTTAAATGGACTGTATGCTGTGATATGCTGTGAGTGTAAGAGTGATGAGATTTAGGTGAAATCGGCGAAACGAACCGATTGCACACTTCACCGAGCTCATATCCGCATCGAGCTCATAGCCTAATCTTAACTATTATTGTTTAATTACGAGCGAGCGCAGCGAGCGAGTTCATACTGAATTAAGGGAAAATCCTGAGTATGAGCGGCCGGCCGGCCGGCCGGCCGGCCGTGGGGACGCTCTTCAAAACCTAATATCTTAGGAACGGGACATCCGATTGACAAGCGGTCTTCTTTACTGAATGTCACTTGGACGTAAAAGTTCTGTGGTGTGATGGCCACCATGCGTTCTTGCCAACCACCGCACGTGGCGCGTGATAAAGTTGGGCATTTTTTAAGAACCCCCAAAATTGCAACCTCAATAACGGCACGACGGTTGGGTCGATTGAATTGAAACTCGGTACACAGTTAGGTCTCTATCAGCTAATTCATCTGCATGTGTTAAGGTTGGGGTGCTACAGCACGTGCGCACGTGCAGGGGGCGCTCCCAGATCTCGAGAACGGCTGGGCCGATTGCGCTCAAATTTGGTACACGGTTGGGGACCAGTCAGTAGGGTGCCGTGCAAAAGTCAGTTTGGACCCTGCTTGCACGTGCGCACGTGCAGAATGCCGCTTCCAGATCTCAGGAACGGCTGGGCCGATTGCGTTCAAATTTGGCACACCGCTAGAGACTGGTTAGAAGGGTGCTTTGCACAAGCCCGTTGGAAGTACCCTCTCGCCCTTGCGCACATGCTCGCTCGTTCTTCGCCCAAAAGGCGTTTTACTGGTTTTATTGTGTATGTGAGTGAGCAGAGATTGCCTTTTGAGTGCATGTGTGTACGGGGCCGCCAACTCATTGTGCATTTGTGCCAATACATGTGACTGATGAGTCCCGATTTTTTTCTTTAAAATTGATTTTAAAAATATAGATAAATAGCTTACGAAGCGGAAAGCTTGTATGTCACGTGTTTGCTTTAAAATACTTTTGGAAATGCGAGACTAGGTGTATAGTTAGGTACACATTATCTCTACGATAAATTATTTGCTTATTTTTTGTCATCGCTTAGTTCCAAAAGGCGCGCTTGGGCTTCGGGAGCCCGAAGCCCCTGACTCCTCTATGGAGCAAACCACGGATCGGAATAGCCAGCACACAGATTTTAATAATAGTTTTTTATATGAGTCTGTTGTCTAGCATAATTTTGAACTATTTTCTAATCAATCTACAAGTGAAGTGGATCCGATCCGACTTTTAACATACATAATTGATTTGGACTGCACTTATCATCGATCATAATGCATATTGAAAGAGAAATTTAAACGCATTGTCCTTATTGAGGTCTTCATAGTATCCAAAAACCTAAAGCTGCATGCTTAAAGCGGGCTTGCGCACATCAGGTTCATTGCCTAATAATTTGCTACTCGCGTCTCTCTCATCAGGCGAACGAGTCTGCATCTGGGCGGCCAAATGTGAGTTCTAGGCGCATATCGCTTTGGTCAGAGTTGGGCTGCCAAACTCGGCAGTTTCGCAAAAGCGTAGCCTACAATTAGCCGCACCCCCCAGGGAGGGTGTTTTTCGTCCTCCCCCCCCCCCCCCACATACACACCTCGGACGAATAGTTGCGATAGCCCCCGAATGCCTAGTGGTTTTGGGGAAAAAATAGAAACACATTTTACATGCATTGTTTGCTTTTTCATATTTCGTCTCTTTTTGTCCTTATCCTACCTAACCATTGTCAGCCCTGGGTACTCAGCGGACGTCACTAGCCATGCTATCTGTCTGCTGGGTCCCCAGGGGTAACCTTTTTACTAATACCTGTGGTGGCGGGCTGTCCATAGCTAAAAAAAAGAGCGGGGAGTGATGTGACCTAATGTGCTTGAATTCCCCTCGTTGAATGAAGTTCTATGGTATTTAACGTAGCCAGGTCACATGGGCATGGAAGGGCACTCCTGCATACCTGTTCCACTATGTTTCACATGGTGGACAATTCAATAGGTATGGGACAAAAAAAAAAAGAATTGATACCAACCTACATTAGGTCAAAGGGTTAGCGACATTAGGTCAAAGGTTAGGTTAGCGACCCCGAGCTGCGGCTTTTTTGCAGATTTCTTCACCAAAAAAGGTCCTAGACCTAAAGCAGTGGTACCAACGCATTGGTCATGTCAAGACACGTCGAATGACATATAGGTTGTTTGAAAAGGTCAAGTTTTATGTTGACCTCATGTGACCTCGAATGGCCTTTGGTTGACGTTTACACATGATCAGTCTCATTTGCTGTATTTGAAGTCACTGGCTACGATTTTGTCATTCCTTTTGATCTAAGCATTCATTTAGAGCCTCAGGATGACAAAAGTGACATAATTAGGGTAATATGACTGACGTATCAGTAAAATAGCCTATAGAAGGATACGGGGTGTAACGAAATTATCCGGTCACCTTTCTTCCCGCTGTGATTAAGAAACAAGACAGCCTGAGGTTTTCCTTTTGATGAAGATATCGCCAGCTTTCATAAGATTTAGAAATGCCTGTAACATTCCAGCTACTGGGTTTTCAAGAAGTGGGTTTGATGTGGACAGACGCCGTATTAGCATGTATGTGCTCACATACAGTTGGGCGGTCCTGGTGCCGGGTGTCCCCTTATTCACTTCCCGCTGGACAAAAATCCTTAAGATCTCTATGAAATCAGGATGACAACTATTTCCAAGTCGGCGCCCGTTAGTCCAGAAGGATAAGAGCTTCTCCTGATGTCACTTCTGATTCTCCTACGGACTTAAATGTAGCGCTCCAGCCTGCACGAATGCAGCGTGGCTTGAATCAAAATCAATGCGTTTTTAGAAATCGAGCCCTCCCGTGCCGTCCGGTTGAGCGGCTCCAATTATTTGTTTGCCAGGATGCTGCTTCGGTAATACTCGTCACTGAAGGTGGTCTTCTGTGACACAATGCACAGCTGGAACATCGCACATAAGCTGAACATGTCCCAGATCTGGATCTTGGCCGGATGTTTGACGCCGGTGACGGCCGGCACGTTTGAGTAATGAGTTACTGGCAGCCAACACAAGCCGCTTTGACGGTTCAAAGGACAATACAGCGCGAATAGCTGCCCACCATAGGCGGCGGAACGGGGAGGGCACCGGGGCACCGTGCCCCCTTTGATTTTGGCATCTTAACATTAGCCCTATGGGCGTTGCATGGAAAGAATGGGACCAAGAGTCGGCAGTGCCCCCCCCCCCCCCTTAATTGAAGGTGTTCCGCCGCTACTGCCCACTCCAACAAACGCTCATGTCTTCCCTCGACCAGTGCAGTGGATGTGTCTTGGCGTGAGGCCAAAGGTGGTGCACTAGCTATTTTCCCGTCCATTGCGTTGTCTTTTTCAGTTTGATAGGCAGAAGAACCAAGTTAAGGGGTGGATAGTGTTGGGCTGGTGGGTCATGATGTGGGCCTTCTAGTTCTTATTATCTGCCTTGCCAAGAATACAAGTCAATCTGCAGATTGATTGTTGTCGTATGCTTGTCGTTATCTTGACAACTCTCCTAACCACTTGGCAAAGCGCGGCTTTAGCGGTCGCGGCCGGGCTGAGTTCTAATAAATAAGAAATAGATGTCCGAATAACTTCGTTACACCCTATATACCTACTCTTGCGTGACATTGACTTTGGGGCGGCCTTGGATCGTAACTTTAACCACAAATAGGGGCCTGATAAACTTTAACCTGCTTCAAACATGTGCGAAGACTGCATTTGCGGTCGACGAAACTTGTACGGACATTCCGTACAAGTTTCCGGGCCTTCCAAAACTTGTACGGACACTGTCCGTAGTGTCCGTAGTGGTGGCGACGCCCATGACTGAACGGCGTCAGCCCGATGCTTGTGGGTTTGAGCGACGTTTGAGGTGGCCCCGGCTCAGCACGGCCGAAAGGTTGACAAGTACGTGGTTTTGAGCGACAGTGAAGACGGCCGCGAGTCAACCCGGCCAGCAGCTCGATAAATATGAGCGGCGTTTACCTGAAAATAGTGGATGTTGTTTGACACGCGAATCAGTAAAGGGGACCAGCGTGATCGGAACAGTGCGTTGCTACTTGCTACCATCTGATTGGTTGAGCCTCAGATCAGATGGCGCATGCGTCTTGGGCAAGTATATAACCGAGGATGAAAACGAGACTAAGCGCCTACACGTGGACTAGTGTGCACCGTTGAGCCCCGACTGCACCCTATGCTACTGGTAAGCTAGCTCCCCAGCTGCGCGGCCAGGAGCGGGGTGGGCTCCCGCATCAGCCGTCGTCTAAGGTGGAGAAGGAGCCTGCCAGTAATTGGGCACCATTGGCCTGTTGGAGGGGGGAGGGAGACGTGAATAAATGAATAAATAACTGCTGTGCCACTCTGTGTTTAATGTCATTCCAAAGGAAGCTGGCGCCTCTGTACGCATACGTTCAACGATACGTCCTTGGCATCGACGATGGCGTAAATGTCCCTTAGAAGTGCCTCAAGTTTGTCCAGCAGCAAGTCTAGGTGCTAGCCTGCAGTGCACAAAGACGAGGCACCAGTCGCGGCTCGACAAAGGTGATGTGTTCCTAAAGACGTTGAAGTGTTCCCACTTCACACTTCTGTTTTTTTATAATGTGTTGTGCGTAGATTAACCGGTTTTATTTGTGGACAAAACTATGCAATAAAGTATCTTACTAGCAGTATGTGTTCCAGCATTTTTAACCCCCAATCCTAAGAACGTAGCGGATCCCTCGTCCCGACACACAATCTGGTGCGGACTCCTTGGTCAGTGAGGCCTAGACGTGGAAGTGTTCTGAAGTGTTCTCACATACTGTTTTTATGTGATTCACTTTATGCTAAAATAAAACGTGTTTGTCGGAAATAAATGTTCTGGCTCTTAATTTTTTCTCTCGAAAGTATGATGATTTGGGAAGTGGTAACGTAGGCTATTCCAGAAAGCAAGACCTGCATCTGTGTTTAACCGCAAGTTTGCCAGTGTTGTTTGGCCGCTCTCCATGTTCGTACTCGGTATCGAAGACGGCTCCAAGGTGCCCAGCGCAGTTACCAAGCCGTGGCACCAACTGGCCATGTCCTCAGCCTAAGGTCAACGTCTGCAAGGCTGTAGGTGCTTCAGCCTACCGCTGAAGTGTTGTCGGTTAAGATGAAACGTTGGAGACCGGTCACAAACAGTGATGAAATGCTAC